CGCATCAGCAGCAGAGATGCAACCAGCGGTGAACTGGCCGGTTCCGTTTCCGCCGCTCCGCTTACCCGAAATACCCTATTTACAGACTTTGTTTTTAAACTGCAAGAATTAATCATGCAATGGACTTCTGAATTTTGCAGAAGACAAATAGCACTTGGATAGTAAAGAAAAAAAGGGGGAAAGGGGTGAAGAAGAAGAAGCTCATGGTAGAGCAGGCGGGAAAGAAAAAGGCGGAAGAGGAGCAGGAGAGAGGGGGGAACAGAATGCCGATACAACCCCCGTAATGTTGCTTAAATGCGTTTCATTGCAGCGGAGAAAGTAAGTACTTTGAAAATATCAGTTTTCGTAGAAATTAATTTGCATTTTTAATTTACTCTTCTCTTTACCATTCCAGAGAGTTAAAATAAACTAGGTAGATGTACGCCGGACCACGTCTCGCATAACAGGCTTCGCGCGATATCTCACGAAACATTGTTACGCTGCGACGCACCTGGCATACATCTACCTAGGCCTGCGGGGCTGACACCCTTATCAGGCAAAAGGCACAGTCGTAAATAGGACTTCGGCCCCAAATGTCACAAATTTTGCTCCTTGGAGTTTTATTTTGACGAGTTCACCGGAGACCATAAAATATCTGAGAAAAAACATATAAATGTTTTGGGGTGATTTTCATGTGGAAAACGCCCTCTCTCGCCCGAACAGTTAGAGATAGAGTCAAACGGACAAAATTTTGGTTCGAAGGGTTCTACTTTGACGGATTACCACTAAGAGAGATGTAAGAAAACATTTTTTGAAAGAAATATTTTGAGCTTTTTGTTTTTGAATTTTTTGACACGTCAATTTTTGAGCCAGAGGGCGCAAAATCAATACAGTTCTTCCTTTTTATGATAAAAAGTTACAATAAAAATTAGAGTCTTCTAGCTCAAACCGTTTTCGAGTTATCGTGCGTACAGACATACAGACAGACAAACAAACAGACAGACAAACACGAAACTTTTTGACCATCACTGGAGGGTTTGCTATCGCCCAGCTAATGCATACCCTCAATGTATTGTTTCGATTTATTGATTAAAGTTCACATACTAAATAGAAAATGAATACAAGACATTTGCACGGTATCGTTAACATTTGAACAAAATCCTTGCAGCATTGTTTTTCTTGTAACCAATGAGTTTGGACGAAATCTAAATCAGGCCTTTGGATTTGTAAATGGTATAAACAGTGCCCCCTTTCCAGAGTCACGCCGTTTCGACCCGTCAATTTTTGAGCCAGAGGGCTCAAAATCAATACAGTTCTTCTTTTTTTACGATACAAAGTTACAAGGTAGATGTACGCCAGACAACCTCTTTCTTAACAGGCTTTGCGATATCTCACGATCTTACTAGCTCAATCCGTTATCGAGTCATCGTGATAACAGACAGGCAGGTGCGAAACTTTTTGATCACTGTAGTAATAGGTTTTGCTAATCGCTCAGCCAACTATTTGGAATGGTAAAATTACAAGCACTGCGTATCGACTTGGAATCGAATGACGAGGTGGGGATATGTATGACACATATTTGGCAGGGAACAAGGCGTTTTATGATGTGTAGCAGCAGTTCAGTGTGGACTATGGCCACCCCTTGGCCCTTAAGAGTGATGCAGTCAACTGCAGTAGCTGCGGTGGTGTCCGACCGTCATCGGTAAACAGAGATATTGCCTTTTGAAAAGAGAACGAGACGAGATATGTATGCTTTTACATAAGCAACGCGGCGTCCGGCGAACTTGGACTTGGACACGATCAGCACACACCGGCGGCATCGCTTTCGTTAAGTCGACAGTCGAAGTGATGCTTTGCAATAAGTTCACGAGAAAAATACAGCCGTTTTGTTTTTTGTTATGGTTGCTGCTTCTGCCCAGCTTTCGCCCTTTTGACAGTCAGTGAGGCGTTGGGTGCGTTCCAAATAAGGTGGCAGGTGGCGTGCGCGGAGGGTGTTCAAGCACAAGCGCTTGTTGGCCGCCATCCGATGTAGGTCTGGCCGACCCTGTTGATACACTATCCCTTGCTAATTGCAGTGCCAATCCGCAAGTTCCCGGTGCTCTCCTGTGGCGCGGGGTGGTGGCTCGAGTCGGCACTCCACCCCCGGGGGCGCCATTAGCGCAGGCATTTCGCGCTGCTCAGTGGATCGCCCCTGCTCTCCATCTCCCCCCTCCCCACTCTGTCCCTATTTACACCACCTTGTCGGCGTCTTGGAGCGCCACTTCTAGCCGCTTCGCTTTCTTTTTTCATAAACATTAAACAAAAGCTTAGACAAAAATCAAGGCGATGGCATCATCACGGGCGGTGGCCCCGGCCATAAAAATTATTTTTTTCTCACGCAAACACAAATTTTTTTACACTTTAGCCTATTTTTGGGCGTTTTTTTCCATTCCTTATTTTTTACTCAAAGAAGGAGTGCGCTAGAGACATTTTCTATTATTGCAAACGAAAGAGCAAGAAGAGACCTTTATTTTCACTCTTTTAAATCGGTCCTCAGGCGCTTGGGCGTCCTTTGAGACGCCTGAATTGTTTCCCATTGTAAAGAAAACCCCCTAAAATACGCGCCACAAATGGACTGATACACTGTAAAAAATGTTCGGATTTTCGCCATACAAGTGTGTAGGAAAAACCCCATACGCGTGTGGGACGCGAAATTTCCTACACATGTGTAGGATTTTTCCTATACACGAAATAGTGTATAGGGAAAAACCGATACGTATGTGAAAAATCCCACACTTTTGTAGCAAAATGCCTAAAAGTGCTTAGGAAGAAATTTTCCTATACAAGTGAGGAAATTTTGCTATTTTTTTCTTTAAAATTCCCAACAACGCAACAGTAAAGTTACAGTTCATGATTTGTAGACCCGTTAGTCCTGTTGGTCAGGTACAAATATTCGGAAGTCTCGTTGTCCTGCTGTGGTCTCAAAGGAATCATGTTGTGTCGAGAGTGCTTCTACGAGAAATATGTCAAAATATTAGGGCACTGTTCTCTGTACTGGTGACAGCAGGTAGCTGTTTGCCTGTATTGTAGATCCCTGCCGCAATACAGGTGGAGGCAGGCAGGGCTGCGTGAGTCGTCGTTCTCACTTTGTCTAACCGTGTCCCCTTGGACGCGTGCCTGCTGGCCTGACACCATTGCACCCCGAAGTCACTGCTGGGCCAGGTCAGGAGTGACCAACTCATAAATCACCAAAAGTGCCCCAGTCTTCTGCTCTTCTTCTCTTAAATAAGACGAAAAAGGTATAAAGAAAAGAAGAAACAACGAAAATGTCATTAGCGCTCAGGTGAGGTGCTCGAGCGGGGAAGGGGTGGGGGACAGTGAGCCATTTGCAGCAATCCATTAGGCCCCCTAAAGACCTGCTCCGAGCGACCGAGGCGTGCTGGAGTTGCTGATCACACTTCTCTTTAACTCGAATCTAACTTATTCTCTGACTAACGAACGCCGCATTCAAACCGTTCGGAAGTTTGCTACTGTTTCCGCGCTATATGACGCGACACACCCCTTTGGACTGCTTCACACAGAAACACGGCTGTATCATCTGCGGGCTCCCACCCTGCGCCTCATCCCCCAAATAAGTCTTGCCTTGGGCACTTTGGCGCCCCGCGCCACCCCGGCACACCCAGCTGGGTCGCCACACCTGCGGGGAGCGGGCCCCCTCTCCCACACCGCACATCCTGCCCCCGGGGGCGAAGCACCTGTCGCAGGGTTTATGTTTCCACAACGGCAAGCTCAATCTTATCCCTGCTCAGCTCCCGCGCCGCCGCGCACAGCGCATACTCGACACGAACGTGCAGCCTGCTAAACTTGAAATAGATCTGATATCAACTGTTGACTCTCTCTCTCTCTCTCTCTCTCTCTCTCTCTCTCTCTCTCTTACTCTCTTCTCCATGACCTGTGGTAGCGCATCAGAGTGGGTTGTGTTTGTTTGCTGCATTCGGCTCCATCGTGGCCCAGCAGAGCCCGTTCACACTGACGAACCAAGTGTGCAACTGCTGAACACCTGTAAGTGTGAATTTTTTTTTTAGAGAAGTCTTCAACTTCGCTTTCTCAAAATGGGGAAGGACAATGTTTGAACTTGAGTTAGATGTGTCCTTTTCTTACGAGTTACAAATTTGTCTAGACGGAGGTACAACTGCACGGAAAAAAGGGTTTACCGTAGCAACCAGAAGTGCAACTTGGTTGCTTGTGACGGGCCTGTTGGTTGTAACAGCTGCCCAGCTTGTTCCATTTTTTGTTCTAATCGATAGCCTGATCACTGAAACCAACCTTCTGGTCCCCATGACCATACGCTCCGGGTTGTCACGCTCAAGCATATGCACGGATGCTGTTTTGTCTGCACTGTTTAATTTTTGCACAAGATTTGCACAAGGACACATTTAAAAAGGGTGAAAAGTTGTCCTTTTCCATTAGGAACCTAGTGGCACACTTGCGGGTGTTCAAACTCGGCGTTTGTGCAACTCCTCACTGCAAAATGCTTGCACGGATTAGCTACGAATTGCAAAGGATTTTATAGCATTGCAGCATTCGCAAGCCTGCAATTCCTTCTAATGCAAACACCTAGATTGCAAGATTTCCAAAAGATTATTTTTTATACAGTCCCTTCAAGACTGTCTCTACCAGAAGGAGAAAACGTCCCCCCCCCCCTTTTCGAAAAGGACGGATTAACTTGCGTGCCTTTTAGTCTAAGGTATCTCAGGGTTTCCCTCTGCAAGCAAACCGGAACCCAAAGAAGAAAAGCACGACTACTCGATCTGCTTCCCTCTGCGCGCTCATTGGCTGACCGACGCTCTGGAGGAAACAGATCGGGCAGTCATGCTTGTCCTCTATTTTAGGTTCCGGTTCGCTTGCAGCGGAATAGGGGGGGGGGGGTCTTCTTTTTTGGCTTCTTGCTGTGAGCAGTGGGCCAGGCGATGTTCTAATGTTCTACTATGATGTCATAATTTTAGGTGCGGGTTGTGTTCGAAGAGTAAGGCAAAGGCGGTGATGACAATCTTGATATGGCGGCGAGTTTTGAGAAGTGATGGAAAAGTGTGAGGCTCTGGTACTGCATTTTCTTGTAGATGTTCGAAAAAATGGAGGCGGTCGATGAATTGACAAGAGTTGATGAGATGTTCTTTTGTAGCCTCTTCTCCGCACCTGTCGCAGAAAGGGCAGTCTATTATCCCAAATCTATGAAGGGATGCTGGCGCATGAGTATGGCCCATTCTAACCCTCATAAGGGGTGACAGAAAAATACGAGGACACTCATCTGCGAGGCTAATCCATGTACGGGACGTAAGTTCTCGGTCTAATGAAAGATTGAATCTTCCCATCGGTTTTATTGGGTGGTTTGCTGCAGTACATCTGAGCTGTTGCCATTCATTGTAGAAGTGCGTCCTGACCTCAGGAAGGAAGTTTTGGTATCTCTGCTGCATTTTATGAGGAAGTCCCATTGTAGCTGCTAATTTTGCAGCCACATCGGCATGCTCATTGGGCAGGATGCTTTTATGTGCAGGGACCCAGGCTATCCAGATATCTTTATGCTTTGGTATGTTGCTGATGCTTTCTCTTAACTTGGTGAGTTCAGGAGGTTCATATGGTGAGATATCTCTTCTATGTAGGGCTGCTACTAAGCTTTTACTATCTGTAAGGATTAATATCTTTCTCTCGTTTTCTATTTCAGGTAGATAATTTACTGCAAGCTGTAGCATCCTAATTTCTGCGTCGTACACTGAAGCTAAACTATGGAGTTTATTTATGATGGCCTTTTCCGGACTTCTGTTTACATCTACCATAGCAGAGCCCACCGAAGGAGTTTCATTTGCTTGACGAGAGCCATCAGTAGCCAGCACATAAAAGTTTTTCCAATGATCTTGACGTAGTTTGTTATAAATTTCAATCGGCTCTAATTCTTCTGCTGTTATGGTGTTTTCAGGAGGAAAATCCGCTGATAGTCTGATGGTGAGGTCCCTTGCATCATAATCTACATAATAGCATAGGGGGATTTCAGAAGAAAAAATTTCATCTTTAGGGACTAATATATCTTGGAGGCCTCTGAACAATGGATGTCTGTATTTGGTTTGAGTTCTAATATTATTTCCTTCATCTATTAATGGGATTATACGGTTTGTGGAGATCGAGGGGGAAACGACTAAGGTAATCCAGCTGACAGCCGAAAGGTAATCCGGCAGGGGTAATCCGAGGAAATTCTAAAAAATCCGTGGTAATCCGGTAATTTGAGGTAATCCGGAAAAATTTTGCGGTAATCCGGGATAATCCTAGAGAAAAAGCAACGTAATCCGGAGGACACTCCGGAGGTAATCCGGGTAATCTGTAATCCGGCTGACACAAAGTTTAACAGTCGTTTCCCCCTCGGTGGAGATACTCTGCCATTTCAGGAGGCTTTTCTGGATATGATAGCGCTGTCGAAGTTGAATGGGCATTTCTCCTGTTTCTGCCAGTAGAGCATGTCTCGGAGTGGACTTCATTGCTCCTGTTATAATTCTTGCTGCTTCCATTTGTATGCTCTCAAGTTTCGCCCACATCTCTTGGGAATGAGGGTCGTAGATCTCTATTCCATAGTCCAACATTGGTCGAATTAAGGAGGTGTAGGTGCGTTTCAGTGTCATTGGGTGGGCTCCCCACCAATGTCCTGTCAGTGAGCGTATAAATTTTAAACGATTTCTGCACTTTGCTTGGGTGTTAGCTACATGAGTTTTCCAATTTAGCGCTGGATCCATTGTTATTCCTAGGAATTTTGCTTCTTTTTTTATGGGGACTTCCCCTCCCCTTAGTAATATGTGCTGAGGCTCAGGAATTTTGGTTTTTCTAGTAAAAATCACCATTTGAGATTTTGTTGGCTCTAATGTAGCTCCATTTTGTGATATCTTTTCCTCCAGGTTCCTTGCTGCATCTTGGAGTTTGTAGATAGCTTCCCTTAGAGATGAGTGGCGAACTGTTAGGCTGATGTCATCTGCATACTGTAGCATAAGCACTTCGTCCTCTGTAACAACTTCCCTTAGGTCTGATGTAAACAGAATGTACAAAAATGGGGACCAAATATCACCCTGGTTTAGGCCCTTGCTCGTGTATCTAAAATCTGTTAATATTCCTCCATATGTTGCTTTCAATTTTCTTCTCATTAGTGAAGATCTGATATTTTCGATCACGAATGCAGGTAGCCCCTTCTGAGTGAGGGACTCACACAGTAACTGAGGGTTGACATTTGGGTAAGCTCCCGAGATATCTGCAAAGAGCGAAACTGCAAATTCTTTTTTCCTAAAAGCTAGGTGAATGTTTGTTGTTAGGAGGGCCAGACTGTCGGTGGTACTCCTCATTTTTCTGAAACCAAATTGATAGCTGTCCAATTTATTATGTGCTTCAGCCCACCATTGTATCCTTTGGAGAGTCACTTTTTGGAAGGATTTAAATATGCAGGAGGTCAGCGCTATTGGCCCGTAAGATTTAGCTTCTTCTGCTGGTTTTCCAGGTTTCAATATTGGAAGGACTATAGCCACTATGATGTCATAATTTTAGGTGCGGGTTGTGTTCGAAGAGTAAGGCAAAGGCGGTGATGACAATCTTGATATGGCGGCGAGTATTGAGAAG